ATTATTTTTACTATAAAACGCTATCCTTTCAATAGTATTCCTTCAAATTTAAAAAGAAATTTACTTACTAATTACAATATATTTTAGATATATTAAAAATAAGTTATCAAAAATATAATATTTTTATATAAAATCAAAAAAAAAATTAGTAATATTTTGTATTAATTAAGATCAAATTTTGTTTTTTTTTTATGAAATTAAATTTTTTTTCTTTTTTGTATTATTAAAATTTTTTATAAAATAAAAAATTTATATTTAAACCATTTATTTATATATTTAAATATTATTTATTTATAAAGAATAGTTATTAAAATGAAATTTTATTTAAAAATAATAGATTTATAATAAATTTATAATAATTTGTAAGTTTCTATAATTAGTTGAAAATCATGACTAAATTTGAAATGAAAATCATGTTAAAAAGGATTGGCGTTCGTTCGTTATCATTATTGCTGAAATGTCTCTTTTTTTCGAGATTTCGAGATTAAAAACAACGATAAAGTTCAAAGGTCAAATGTTAAAAAGTCAAGTATCGAATTACATGTAATTTGTGAACTTTCGAATTTTGAATCGTTATCATCTAAATTTTTCCATACTCTGTCTATTTTGTTCAACTTTACTAGAAAATTTATCAACTCAAATTTATTTTGCACCCAACGTTCCGGAAAAACCTTCTTCAGAATGGACACGTTTCGTTTGTGTAAGCGATACTCATAATACGATTGATCCAAATAATTATCAAGTTCCTGATGGTGATGTTTTTCGTAAGTATTAATTGAAATATTTACAAATTGAACACCTTTTAATATTGGAATTTTAAATAGTTCATGCGGGGGATATGACAAAAATTGGTACAGTAAAGCAATTACAAGATGTAGTTGATTGGATTAAGAATCTTCCGCATAAGTGAGTGAAATTTTTACACTTTTAGTTTCTTGCGATATTAGTAAATACTAAAACGCAATTTTTAACCTAGACATAAAGTTGTCATTGCTGGAAACCACGATATAACGTAAGTTGCATACTGTATGTACCTTTTTTTTTTAATATTCTGTATAACCAAATCAATATTACTAATAGGTTAGATGAACCTTTTTATGAAAATAACTGGTATCGATTTCACCATAATAAAGAAGATTCAAAAAGAGCAATAAACCTAATGAAAAATTCCGGTCATGGAATTGTATATTTAATCGAAGAGACATTTACTATTCCTGAAAAAGGAATTCAAATATGGGGAAGTCCATGGACACCGGAATTTTACGAATGGGCTTTCAATGGTCAACGTGGTCTGTTTTTAAAGGGTAAGTAAAAGTAAATGCTAATAAAATTTATTCGATTTATGTAATTTTTTTTTCTTTGTTTTAGAAAAATGGGAGCAAATTCCACCGATTACACACATATTGATGACACATGGCCCGCCCTATGGTATATTGGATGTGACGAATCATGATGGAAAAAATGTTGGCTGTAAGGATCTGTTGGAAAGGATACAAAATATAAAGCCGTACGTTCATATATTTGGGCATATTCATGAAGGTTATGGTGTACTCGAGAAGACTTGGAATTCTGCTGATGGAAAAAAAACTATTTTCATAAATGCTTCAACAACAACTAGAAAGTATAGACCTGAAAATAATACAGTTGTTTTTGATTTCCTTCTTTAAAGTAATTAATTCATCAAATGACTTAAAATACTGTATATGAGAATTCACGAGAGTATTAATATTGTATAATTCTGAAATTAAGACAATATTAAAAAGAATTTGGAAGAATTGTGAGAATTATCATCAAAAGCCTCGAAGATATAAAAAAATAAACATAAAGGGGATTTTAGTTAACAAGAAGCTTTCATATATGAAAAGGCAAATGATGAATAAAATGTTTCATTTTTTTTTTACCGTATTTACAATTTTTAATTTTAATTCTTATTTTAATAACCAGCTTTCATTATAAAAATCTCGAAATGCGATCGATCAAACATTAATTAAATTTATTTATATAAATTTTTGGTTTTATCTTTGAGAATTTAATGAACTTATGCTAATCCCTTGAGCAAATTTAAATTAGGAATTATTTTATTACCTCTGTTCTTTTAGCTAGAATATTCATTGTGTATAATAAAGATGATTTTTTTAATTAAATGTTTTTATTTTAACTTTCGTAATTCTAGCTAACAAATGGTCGTAGAACAGATTAGTATATTAAAAGATGATTAAATTGTATACTTTATTGATAATAAACA